CTGTAGTACTAATAGACTTTTTGTTAAGTACTCCAAGCATGGCAAGGGATCGCCAATCACATCTCAAAGACTTTCTAATTGGATCGTCCAGACTATCGTCCTGGCTTACCAGCTATTGAAAGTAGACTTACCTGTCTTTTCAAGAGGTCACTCCACACGAGCAGTAGCGACTTTGTCCACCTTTGCCACAGGGGTTCCGCTTCAGGATATCTGCAGAGCTGTAACGTGGGCTGGTCCATGTACCTTCGCCAAGCATTATCGGCTTGATGTACGTGCCAGGCAGGACTGCTCTTTCGGCAGAGCTGTTCTTTCATCTCTTCTTTGCTGACGACACCTCCCTCCTCCGAGTTTGGTAAGCTTGCGAATCATCCATATGTGTGATGCACAGAGGCCACGACGAAGAAAAGCAGGTTGCTTACCTGTAACTGATGTTCTTTGAGTGGCCATCTGTGCATTCACACAACCCACCCGCCGGCCCCACTCGGTGTTGGTGAGTGGATGTTTTTTCTCTCGGTACCGTACTCTAATTTTCATCGGTACCATTGGGATATAATGATACTTGTTGTTGATTTTATTCTCAACCTCTAGAGAGCAAACGTTTGATCTTCAAGACTGAGTAAAATGGCGGACATTCCGCTCTATTTATACCACTGAGGGGGAGGAGAGTGGAGTTTTCCCGCCAAAAACTGTTAGCTTTCTAATCTTCCGGCCTAGGCACTGCGCAGCCGCAGCACCCATATGTGTGAATGCATAGATGGCCACTCAAAGAACATCAGTTACAGGTAAGCAACCTGCTTTTATTTTTTTATTTATTTGGAACATTTATATGCCGCCCCATTCGCAAAAAGCCTCACATATATATGATTGGGACTGTGGGGTGCTGATCCCCCAATGCCATATTTGCACTTCTCAGCATGAGCAGCCACACTGACAAAGCATCATCCCACAAGCAAGCTAAGCATCAGGAGAAGTGAAGGTAAGTGCTATGCACTAATTTCTTTATAGATTAATTACTCTGAAATCATTCAAAACTCATATATTTTTGTTGAAGCCAAAGTAAGGGTGCAGCTAGAAGGCAAAATCCCAGAAGAGTAACCCTTTGCAAACTTGATTTTAGAGAGAAGCTGAATTCCACAGGGGAGGCCTGGCAAGACGGTACAGTTCCTGTAGCCTTGTTCAGGCAGGGAATTATGAAAACTAAACCCAGGCTTAGAAAGGGGAGGGAAAAGAGCCACTGAGCCAGCCTAGCTACTGCATATTTACTGACACTCTTAAACAACTCTAAATAGTTAGCAAGGCAGGACTTATTTTCATAGAATCCTTACAAATTCTTTGGGCTTCTCTATAGCAGGCATTCCGTTTGCACACGATCCATCACCCATGGAAATCTCCTGGGCCTTTTCAAGATGTCAACATCTTCCAGTGTCTCTCCTGTTTCCCAGTCTTTCTGCAGCTTTTTTTAGAGCAGGAAGTCAGCTAATAAAAATCAAACTGGAAAAAGGGCCTTGTGTAAAGTTGCAGTTCGACTATATTACAGTTGTATCATAGTGCCACCTTATGCTTGCTTAACAGAAAGGCAGAGAAATAGAAACCCTGGGAATTAACACATAGTGCAGCCACCAGTGTGACAGGCATACCTTTCCTCCTGCAATGAAACTAGAAGCCTCAGTAAAGCAGCAGGTTAAACCCCTTTTCCTTCCATATGCCTACTCATTTTTTTTCACAAATTCTTTCAACCAATTAACTTGGAACAGATGTTAAGCTTAATGAGCCTGTAATTTCCTGGATCCCCCCACCATATTCCCATTATAAACATTGTTGTTATATTGATCAGAGATTGATCTTAGGGACATGTTACATATTTTGTTAGAAAGCATTTCAAATTTGAGTTTTTAATCTTTCCAGGATGGATAGCATCTGTCCCAATGATTTATTAACTTTATCTTTTGTCTCCACTATTTGCCTCAGTTCATCAGATTCCCTTCCTGAAAACATCTGTTCAGGCCCACATATCTGTCTTACATTTTCCTTAGTGAAGACAAATGAGAAGAATTCATTCAGCTTCTTCACAATCTTCTTATTTGCCTTTACAGCTCCTTTAACTCTGTTGTAATCCAGTGGTCCAACTGGATTACCTAGCTGGTTTCCTGCTTCTGATATGATTTGTTACTGTTGTCCTTGATGTTATCATCAATATGCTGTCTCTCCATTGAACTTTTTATCTTTTTAAACTTTTAATCCTTAAACCTGAAATTGTTCCTTCCTTGGTGTTATTTTAACCAGTTAGTCTCAGGATAGAGTGGAGAAACCTTATTCTTTGAGTTTTAAAGGTTAGCAAGGTTCATCTACCTTACCTGCTCTTGCTGTTCTTGCCAAGCAGTGATGTGTAAATTATTAGTACCGTCAAATGTTTGCAATATGAACAATAGACATGCCAAGGGGGAAAGAGCAAGAGGGTTGAGACTCCATTTACAAAAAAGAGAGTGCCAGTGGCAATAATGCAGGCTTCTAACCTCTCCCATTCCCACAATAATCACAATCACAGCAAAACTTTTATCAAGCACAAACATACTGACAGGCGACAAGCTGGAAGATGCTGCAGTGAACAAGACTATTACTTCAGGAGGAAAATCAACTGTAAAGTGAACAACTGACATTGCTTAAGCTGAGAATTCAGATGGCTCAACTTCTGATGCTCAGAAAAGGTCTGGTTCACTCACTAAAGAACAGGTGCTTGGGCTGGAACTAGAAAAAGGCTTATGACTCTGGGATGAATGCATGGCCTACTTCTTGCTAGGAAATAGGCTTTAAAGCAGCCACCTACCTCTTACTTTCAGCCTGCTGTTACAGAGTCTTGTTCACATGCCCTCTAAATATCCATGTAGAGACCAAACTTTAAAGCTTGGGTATGATGAGAGAGTCCACTGGGGGTGCACAATTTTAAAAAAGTTTATTCAGACATACAGGAAATACATGTAGCATGTAGGTAGACTCTGGACAGACTACAAAGATAGTCTGTACAAGATGCTTTTATAACCTATCAGTTATGTACACAGGCTGTGGGAGGGGGAGAGCATGTAAGCAGTCTGCTACAGGCACATGAGAACAAAACAAATGGGGTGAATGGACTAAGACAACAACACAAACGGAAGAACTTTTGGGACAAACAAACATAAGCATGTCTCAAGTGTGCCCCCAAAGAAAGACCTTTCAGGACAGGTATATTAATATATATAAGGTGTAAAAGGGGAGGAAGACTTGCAACATGTATTTAAAACATCTGGAGTAATGAGAATGATATTTTTAAAATTCTTTTATTGAAAAATTTTACAACTGAACATTCCCCCTTTCAAAGTATGCACTTTGTTAGTGTACACAATGCTCCCAATGATTTTTCCATTCTTCATAGTATCCCTGGAAGTCTCTAAGTGGGATGGTGTTCAGAGCCTGCGTAGTGGCTCTTCGGATGTTATCCACACTACCAAAATGGTGTCCTTTCAAACCATTCTTCATTTTTGGGAGTATGAAAAAGTTGCAAGGAGCCAAGTCAGGGCTGTAGGATGGATGGAGAAGCACTGTGATGTGTTTTTCAGCCAAAAACTCTATGACAGCCAAAGCAGTGTGACTTGGTGCCTTGTCATGATGAAGGATCCAAGTTGAGCTGATCTCAGGACGCACACAAAGAACTCTTTGTCTCAAGTGACCAAGAACTTCCAGGTAAAATCTTCGATTCACAGTTTGACCAGTAGATACAAATTCCTTATGGACAATTCCAATGAATTAAAAAAACCAGTGACCATTGATTTACTCATTTGAGCTTTCTTGGGGATGAGGGTGTGTGCCATTCTGAACTTTGTTTCTTTGTCTTGGGATCATACTCAAACACCCAGAATTCATCTCCCGTGATCATTTAACTCAAAAAATCAGGGTCTCTTTCCAAACAGGCCAATAGGTCTTGGCACACAAGTTGACGGTGTTCCTTCTGATCAGGTAACAAGTACTTTGGAACAAGTGCTGCACACACTTTTCTCATATGTTCAAATCCTAAGCCACAATTTCATGAACAATTAACTTGGTAAATCCCATTTCCTCTGCAATCATTCTGATAGTGAGCCGTCAATCATGATTGAGAACAGACCTCACTGCATCCACATTTTGTTCCTTTTTGACGAAGAGGGGCGTCCTGATCATTGTTCATCTTCAGCACCTTCTCATCCTTCCTTGAAGGCCTTGTGCCATTGGTACACTTGTGCAGATGATAGCACAGTTTTTCCATTAGCTTTCCTCACCATTTCCAGAGTTTCTGATGCACTTTTACCCAATTTCACACATTTTATCATGCGCTGCTGTTCCAAACTCACTTGCATTATCCTTAATACGAGGCACTTGAACAAGGTGTCTTGACTCTGACAGGGCTAGAATGCAACTGAGCAGTGTTCTATAACATATACCTGGCACCCCACCCCAAGTGACCTGGGTCAGCTTCTCCCTTCACAGAGCCCTTCTGGAGCATACGAATTTCATTCGCATTACTTTCTGGATACCTGGTATTTAAAAAAGTGTTAAAGTTGTTGTTTTATTGTCCAGCAAAAACTGCACGAAAATGTTAATACCTCAGCCAAGAGTTGAACCGCAGAGGGTTTCTTCAGCATGCAATTTGCAGTTTGCAACAACTGCTCTGGTACAAGGTAGCCAGATCTGGAAGTCCTACTGCTTAACTTTACGTGTTGAGGATGCATTTAGTTCTTAGCAGCGCAGGGGAAGGATTCTTCACATGCCCTTACGAACCCTCCTGTTTGCATCGCTTGCTTTTCTAAGGACTAATCCCTTGCATCAAAGTCTGATGGGGGGGAACCTGGCTGCATCTAGAAGTCAAATGTGCGGAGCTGCAGGAGCGCTTTTCTTGGCAACTACTTCCGGGTCGAGCCGCGGCTTCTCAGCAAGAAGTTCCGGGACTGAGACTGGCCCCTGCAGGCCCCTCCTCCCACTGGATCGTGAGTTTATATTTGAACTAGTAATATCGCGCACGTGTTTGGAAAATGACTAATGTGATCGTGTGACCGGCATCACATCTAGGGCGGGGAGGCGAGGCCGTGGGCCCAACTAACCAGGAGCAAAGGGGTGCAACTCCCCGCTGCTTTAAAGAAAGAAAGCGCCCAAGCGCTGGTGGTAGGAGGGGCGGCTTGAGCAAGCCTACTTAGAACGGCGTGGCCTGAACCTGGGCTTTGCTCGCCTGGCGGCACGCAACCAGCCGTCGCGGGAGCCGGTGCAACGGGTGAGTGCCTGGACCGCAAAGGGTCTTTCTGGGGAGCGTGTTGTAGGGGGAGTGAGACTTCCCAAGCCCTGCGGCTATGAGTCTTCAGAGACGGCATGCTCCGGAGTGCAAGATGTAGGCAGACGCCGAGGGGAAGCTGGCTGCTCTTTGCTCGTTCTACTTCCTGGCTAGCCTTGGCTGGAAACGGCGTGCTCCGAAGTGGCAGGGCGCCCTGCGATCGGGCGCTTGCGTTGCCCCGCGCTCTCCCTCGCACCTGGCGGGAGGATAAGACAAGGGGTAATTTCTTCGTTCTGTCATCGTGACAGATAGTTAGAGTTAGGATTGGACCTTGGGACCGAATGCCAAAACACTGCCTGAAAAGCATGGGAAGTGGTAATTGAGGAAATGCTGCAAAGCTGTCAGGCCTGCCGATGGTTTGAAATGCCAGCGATCAGACTCGGATTTACCTTCCTCGGAGTAATGAGCATTCGGACCGATAATAGTAGGACTGGCTGCTAGGCCATTGTCTCGTCCAAAGTGGTTAAAAACTAGAGCTGCATGCATGCTGTTCTTCGCTAAATGGGAGTTGGGTACCTTTCCTGTCTGGTTGTTGAAGGGTTCTGTGTTGCTTTTACAAAACCTTGTGTGCAAGTTCCACCGAAGGATGCTACTTTGTCTTCATGATTTTCTGGTGTTGTAGAAGAGACAATCGTACCTAATAAATTGGGATTTTGATCTTGAAAATCCATCTGTGTTTTCTCTTCTGTCTAAGTGGATGCATAGTCCTGGTTCTCTGAATTTGGATTTTCGTGTTTTTACTTCTTGTTTGTTCTTTGTGTACATGCAAGTGTGCCATCTTTCATGAGGAGGAACTGGGTGTGTGCACTGCAGATTAAGTATCGGCCACCAACACCTCTAGGAGAATGGCCACTGTGAAACACCCCTGCATTGCACCTAGCCTAACACTTTGTGTTTGTTCAGGATACTGTCATATACTTTCCTCAGGCTCGTAGATCCAGAAATAAAGAACTGTGTCTGTCCACCTCACAATAAACTTTGGGCTACCCCAAATCATTTGGTGAAAGAATCTGAAGCCTGTTGCCCAGGTTGTGGGACTTCCAAAATTAATCCCAGGAGAGGCTGAAGCCTCCTGTCAGGTTCAGTCCAGGAGGTCCTTTCAAATAAAGGACTTGCCACATAAATGTTCCAACAGGAGGTGTGCATGCGAGGAGGAGGTAGTAAGTAAACAGTTGCAGTCTAACAGCCTTTATAAACTTTTGGCAGCCTTTCTTAGCCTGTCTGGCCAATTGTTTTAACCCCTGGCAATAAAAACATTTGCTTCATTTACATTTGCTTCTCTAGATTTGCATTTTCTGATTGCCATTCTATATCAAGCAAACTTCCTAACTTGTCTCTTTCTCTTGGGACACAATGACCATTTACATTCTGTTCAAGCCTAAACTCTCTGGTTAACCTTTTCCTCATCTCCTCCATCGGGATTGGCAAACCGTTTCGCTTTGATAGAAAATACCATTTGTTGTGATGTCTCTAGTTCCCCTGATGCAAAAGCAAAGCTGGATGCAACCCTCAGGCACCTTGAAGTTGGTATTCCCTTGGTATATTATATGAGTTGTGGTAGTCCTAAGCATAGCCACAGTTCTTTATTTGCAGGTAAATTTCTCTTGTGGAAATGCTGTGGGCAAAACAGGTTTGTTGGGGGAGAATTCTTGTGGATGGTGGAGTTGAGCAGGGAACAATGCTATCTGCAGTGCTAGCCTAATCAAAGTCAGGCTTTCTCTTTGGGCTCAGACAGTTTTCATGGCCCTCTTCAGACACAGAGTTCCCCCATGTGATCTCTGATGCAGATTATATGACTCACATGGGGCTCCTTTAGATCAGCTGACTCAGCTGGGCAGCTTAGCGGATAGAATTCGCAAATTCGATGCACAACTCCTGATTTATGATCGGATACTTTGATGAGAGTCACTTTCTTGGTCTTTTCACTGCAGTGTGGTAGCCAGCAGGAAATTGCTAGCTCACCTGTAATGTCTCTTCCTCCTTGTGCCAGGCTTCAGGTTCAAGGCCAAGATGTGGGCACGGTGGATGGTGTATATTGTGTTGGGTGGGACAACTTCTTCTCTGAAGTGCCCTAATGGACATACATGTGAGGGCATCTCTACTTGCTGCAAGCTGCCTGAAGGGGATGAATATGCCTGCTGCAACCAGCCACAGGTAGGATCTGTAACTGGGTGGCAACTGCAAAGCATTTCTTACAAATAGGCCTCTGTATACAGTTGAAAATTTGTGTGATGCATCTGTTTGTTTTATTTAATTGAGGACTGTAGCTTGCTGTATACCAAGTCCTCCAGTAGATAGCAAATGTACTTAGTTTTTCCTTTCTCTGGTGTCCAAAGTTATTGGGAGCACATGTTTCAGTAACTTTCCTGCCTCTTGCCTGTTTCCAGGCAGAATTCAAAGTGCTGGTTTGAATTGAAAGTGCTAGTAAAGCCCTCTGTGGCTTGGGCTCTGGCTGCCTGGAAGAGCACCTTCTCCCATACAAGCATGGCAGGGCTGAAAGTTCTTCAGAAGACCCTGCGTTAGAGACTAGCACCTTCAGAGGTGTGTTTGATGGTAGACTTTTTCAGAGGCCTCTCCCAGTCTGGGGAACTAGAATGGCTTCCTCTCTCCTCTCCTTCCACTGGCAGGCAAATACTTCTTTAGTCAAGCAGGCTGCTTGTATGTAAATGGCTGTGTTGGACTGGATGTTGCTTTATTCTCTGACGGTTGTTTTTCATTGTGCTTGAATGTAATTATATTGTTTTAATCAAGCAGTGTAATCAAGCCAGCCTAGTAGAAAGCCAGGGAACAAATCAGATTTATGGATCAGCACAATAAGTTCTCTGAGATATGCAGTAGATTCAGAGGGGGGGCCCTGGCTTGTGTGTAGCAAAGGATTTTCCCATACAGTGTTCCTCCCAACACCCCACTGAGCTGTCAGGAGGTAATGGGGCAAGCGGGGGGGGGGGGGAGCAAAAAACAACAACAACAAAAAACAAAACCCAAAGAAAAACCAGGACAACTGCATGGCCCCCTCAGGCTCATGTTGCCCACTCCTCCTCTCTAGCTGCATTTTCATAGCTGCTGCTGCTGCCCCCACCCCTGAAGGGAGGTGTGAGATCTTGCAATTTCCATGAACAGGTTGTAGGAAGCAGAATTGCAACCAATGTTCATCCTTCCTCTTTCTGCTTCTAGCTCATGAGAGCATCACAGGGCACGCTGTATGCAGAGAGCTCGAACAAGATCCCTGGTGTTGTATGTCCTGATGGTACCACGTGTCCCGAAGAATATTCCTGTGTGCATACTGAGGGCAGTTCCTTTGCCTGCTGCCCTTGGAAAGAGGTGAGCTGTGGAACAAAACAGGGCAGAATTTTGTGAGAAGCAGTGTCATACTGTTGACATAATCACAGCAGTCACACCTGTCCATCTGTCTTGGTTGCAGGTAGACTTGAATCTCTTGACATCTCTTTCTCAAAATCAACAGAGGTTGTGGCGCCTTCCTTTCCAGCCCTCCTCTCAAAAGTAGTCAATCAGCTGGTGGGCATTAGGTGAAAGAAAGCTGTACCATACATGTTCCATCACCGCCTGCCAGCAGTGACTGGGATTGATAGAACAAAAAAGAAGCCCACCTCAGGATGCTAGAAAAATAGTTTATTCCTTAAGAAGCCCAATTCATTTCAACCCTGTTCCCTCAAGGGAACTTGTCTGTCTTTAAATATGAGACAGAATTCTTGAAGGCTTTTATGGAATCCCCCAAAGGAAGGACTCAGTATGTTGGGCTCCTTACACAATAAACTCTTTTCTCAGCATCTTAAGGCTAGTTATCTCTTGTTGGATCTACTTTGGATGCTATCCAATGTTTTCAGTATGGTTGGTCATGATGGAAGTTGCACTCAGCTGGAAGACTGCTGTTGGAGACCGCTGGCATACTCTTCAAGGACTGGCGTTTCATGGCTGTTTCTGAATGCTTTTCAGCATTTGACTGGCTGCTGCCTTCTTTCCCACAGGCCACCTCTTGTGCTGACAAACGTCATTGCTGCCCCTCTGGTTCCTATTGCAGTGCTGATGGACAATTGTGCTTGCAGAATGAAGGTATTGAAAGAGATGGAATTAAACATCCAAAATAAAATGGGCTAGAAACAGAAGCAGGGCCTAAAAGTATTTCTAAACAGAAGGGCCTTCATTTACTTCCTAAATACACTCGAGTGAGTAAAGCATTCCATAAGGTTAGGCCCAGCTTTTAGCCTTTGCAGTTGGTATTTTCCTAAGCAAGGGGATGTGAAAGCTTCTGCAGATCTCTTGAAAAAGACAAGGGAACATTGCTTAAGCCAGGAAATCAGTATCTAGAACTTTAAACTGGGTCTAAAAGCAAACTGCACCCAGTGCATGTCTTGTAGGAATGGTATTGTGCACTCTTTGGTTATATTCTCTTTCTTTGCCCTCTGCCCACAACTTCTAAGAAAGTCTATTGCTATTGTTGTATTTATTTGAAGCAGGTTTGTCCTGTCTTTCAGCCTAAAAAGGCTCCTGACATCACTCACAAACAGTCAGCAGAAGGGCAATCCCTGTCCACAGGCTTACAATCTAAAACAGGACACAGGAGGAAAAGAGGGTGGAGAGAAGGAAAATCAAATAATTAGACTGTCAGCAAGACTGGTGAAATGTCTTAGGAATGGGGGAATCCAGCTGACATTCTCTGATGCACGTGTCTCCCCTCTTTTCCACAGAATAGTTGCTGTTGATTAGCCCTGTGCAGGGAGGGACTGAACTGAAAGCTCCTACCTCTCTCACACGGTGTCCTTTAGATACAGTGCTATTGAATTGAAGAGCCTTTTTCTTCCCAGCAAAGGAAATAAAAAGATCCCAGTGAGGGAGGCAACTGGGTGCCCACTTGATAGGCAGGAAACTCAAAGTGCCCGGGTTGGACAACCCAGCGTCGTGGGCTTGTCATATTGTGCAAAGCCAGATTAATTCCTGCAGAAGGGATTGTTTGAAGACAGCAAGCCACGAAGACAAGCCTTAGCTGGTTACCTGGCTGGTTGTACCCATGATGGATTGTCATGTCATCCAAACCCAGACAACCAGCCCCATCATGGGTACAGTGGATTAGCTAGTGATTTGCTTGCCAGCTGCCCTCCAATTTTTGTCCTTTGACTTTCTTTTTCTTTGAGATCACTTGTCAGCTGGTGATTCCCATTATTTCATGACTCACATGTTGACAGTCCACTCAACATGCCCAAGTTGGACCTTGGCATGGCTGTCAATGGCTGGCCAGACATTCTTAATAAGAACAAATGTTGCCTAATAAGTTTTCTAAAAACAACAAAGAGGCACAGTTGCACAACCACAGAGATTCAGAGTTGTGCAAGTGTAGGAATTTGACATCTCAGCTGGGGCAATGATCTGGGAAGCACCTGCCGCCAATGTGCAGCAGGTTCTAGTTGCAGACTTTGTCCAAAAGATGCCCCAGATAGTTGTCCGCCACTCCCTTGGTTTCTCTGGACAGTCCTCCAAAGGTGCACTATCAGCCCAGAGATGTGTGTGATCTTTGCTAGCATCATAGGAGTTTTAAAATTTATGTTCCCAATGACTTCATCTGAGTTTCTGAGCTTTTCAAAACTTTGATAAAACTTGCAACCCCTCCTTTTTATTTTTTAGTTTTAACTTCTACTAAATTTGGTGCTGTTCAGTGCCCAGATGGTGAATCAGAATGCCCAAATGAATCTACTTGTTGTCCGATGGCTGATGGATCCTGGGGCTGCTGCCCATTGCCTGAGGTATGGGGGCCAAATATGAGCAAGCCAAAGAAATATACATGCATGCGCGCGTGCGCACCCCCACACAGATATAGTTCAAAGCACTAAGGACTTAGGACAGAAACTTTTAGCATTAAAAAAGGTTGTCATTAGGCTTTATAAAGCATTATTTATAGATTACTGGGAGGGTAATGTATTTCTGCATACCTGTGGAAAATATCATGCAATAGCATAATAAAAATGGCTGTGCAGAAGGACTGTTGCACAAACAGTAGAGGATCAGTATAACATTTATGGGTGGCACTTTGTTCCTGTGCAGCTGTTCAAGATTGATAAGAAAGGAGCAGATCAGTGTCAGTGCTGCCAAAAAAGAAATGCATTTTTTAACCATATTCGTTGGAGTTTTCCTAAGAGAGTTCTTTTAGGGAAACATGGTAAATACAATTATACTTAGGTTAACTTATGAAATGCCATTCAACCCAATTGTTGTATTTTTAGGATATATGGATGAGAAAATTTTGAGTCAAGATCATGAGTTGGCTTGGTATTCATTTACAGCCAGCCCAGGCAATGTTAAGAGCTGGTTACTGGAAGTATGGAGAATCCTTGCCCATTGGCAGGACCCACATTGATTTTACAGGGCAATTTAATAAAAGAACAGCCATTAAAAAAGGACTTCTAAAAACAGAACGTATGTGCCCCTGTCATGCTCTGCTGGGGAATCCCTCCCCGGGGGGGGGGGGGGCGTGGATGGGGAGAGGTGGCACACCAGTCTCCTCCCTTTCCCAGGCATCCTGCTGTTCCGACGGGATCCACTGCTGTCCCCATGGCATGCGTTGTGATCTTGTGCATGCACAGTGCTCGGCGGCCTCCGGGAAGCAGCCTCTTCAGGAGAAGTTCCCAGCGAGGAAGCAAGCGCCAGTGGCAAGTATGGAACAGGGCGACGGGTGGAAAGGCGGTCCCTGTCCAGTGGGTGTGTGCTGGCCACAGCTGGAGGCCAGCAGCTGCCTGTCCCCTCTGCAGGGCATCATATCTCACCCCTTAATTGACTTTTTTCCTTCCTCACCACTCCTCAGGTGTTCCTCAAAGAAATATTTGCCCCGATAACCAGTCGAGCTGTCTGGAAACTGCCACCTGCTGCCGACTCCCCTCCAGCCACTATGGCTGCTGCCCCTTGCCGAATGTAAGTATGGAGGGCAGCTGGATGCCTGGAGCGTGGGACTAGTCCCAGCGGCTTCCTCTGTGCCACTTGTGGAGCCTTCTCCAACTCTGCTGCCCTCCAGATAACTTGGACAGCAGGCTCCACAATCCTCAACCAGCATAGCCAATAGTTGAGCTCAACAAAGTCCCCGAAATGAACCTGGCAGGTGACTGGGCTCATTGTGGGGCCTTGCCCCCTCCTCACCTCCATCCCTCTGATGTGTCCAGGCAATATCCCACCAGACACCACAGAGGGGGGTGAGTTTCCTCCCTCTGGAAGCCATGCTCATAAGCCAGTTGTGGTTTGCTGCAGCTGCCCTTTTTACAATTCCCCCCCTCCCAGGACGGCAAAAGCCTGCCGCAGAGCCAGATTGCACAGTCGCCTTTAGAGGTAGGCATGAGGTGCCCCTCAGTGTGTCCTTGGCTCTTTGGAGGGGCTTCCCATGGTTGTCCAGTTATTTCTAATTTTTAATTAATTTATTTTTGCCTCTACAAATGTTGTGCCAACAAGGGCCATTCCCTGAAGCCTGATGGGGCATGTTCCAGCTCAGTAGAGAACATCTTCAGAGGGGGGCCTGCTGCCCTCTTGTGGTGACTGACTCTCTAGATGTTGTCTCAGCCGGGGCTGGAAACCCCTCCCGCTTGCTTCCCATGGCCAGCCTCATCTCATTTTCCATTTCCCCCTTTGATCCTCATGGGTGTGCAACCATATGCATTGTTCAGACCCTTGGTGAGCTTGGGGAGAGTCCAGCTACTTCCCCACTGCTCTTCAAGGGGAAAAGGAGCTGAACTGTCAAGCTCCATTTGCCTTAAAGAGCTGTCAGGAATGCTGTTGGCAAAGGATGGCACCTTCTCAGCAAGGAACCCTCACACCTTTGCTCTCAGTGGGCAGCTTGACTTCTGCAAGGTGGGGGTGAGGGATTTCCAGCCCCAGCTGGGACCGTTGCACAATGCAAATGGGGGAGCCCCAGAGCCTTGCTGGCAATCGGATCCCACCCCTGGTGGAATTTGCTCCCCATTGCATTTCAGGAAATTGCATTACAAAGGGCACTTAGAGGGGCGGCTCATGGTCAGTGCAGGCTGCCCAACTGCCTTTCACAATCTCCAGGCAGGAAAAGGCTTAATTGAGGTTACTTGAACTGTCTGCAGTCAGGGTATTTTCTCAGTTTTGGTTTGGCCTCTGACCTTTGCTTTGTGCTTGTTTCTGTGTGTATATATTGTGATTCCATCTTTGGATGCTATATTTTAATTGTTTTAAAATGTTTGAGTATATGTTGCCCAGAAAATCTGGGTTGCTGGGTCAGAACTTACTTAAAGCAAGGCATAGAACGTAAGCAGCCCTCAGAGGGTGGACGTGCTTGGCGTGGATCGGTGCCAGAGGCCCCGCTTGCTACCCACCGAGCTGCTGCCTGGCCCACTGACCTGTGCCCTTGCTCCTGCTTTTCCTCTAGGCTGTGTGCTGCCCCGACCACCTGCACTGCTGCCCACAGGGCACCACGTGTGACCTGACCCATTCCACATGCATCATGACCCTGCGCCAGTTGCTGCCAATCACCCACCTCCCTGTGGATGTGCAAACAAGTGAGGAAGACTCAGTGCTGTGCAAGGGGGTGTATCATGCGCAATCAGGAAGGCAGAAGAAACCACATCTGAGTGGTGAAATGCTGACAGTGTAACAGTGATTCTTGTGAGATGATGGCACATTGAATTAGTGGAAGGAAGCTCATAGAATGTGGGGGACAAAGGAGGAGAAAAGTGGGTTGATGCCAAAGGTGAGAGAGGACAGATTTTTACAAGACGGCTGGATATAATGGTAGGAAAATATGCAAAGCAGAAAAGACATACTCTGCCAACCAGAGTTAACTAAGATGCTTATCATCAATTGTGGTTTGGTGCTAGCGCATCTTTCTGTTCTGTTGCTTATTCTCGCCTGAGTTGCATTTTCAAATTTAACAGTGAAATATACCCTATGTGAATGCAACTCCAGAGCGATTATGATCTTAAACACATGACTGTATATATGGGGAACTAGTTTTGGCACTGAGATTTGGGACATCACCTGCTCTGCTCCAATACCAAATCGAAAGTGCAGTAGTACCCCTGAGAGATGGCAGGAGCATTTTTCTTGCCCCCCAGCTCAGCTCTTAGCCAGTGCCGAGGCTCCCTCCGTGCTGTTCCCCGCACTCCAACAGCCAAGGATGGTAGGAGTTTTAGCACAAAATGTGGAGGGCAACATATGCCCTGCCCCGGCTCACCCCGTCAGTTGCTTGAGAGGAAGACAAGGGATGTGGGAGGCCCCAGAGGTCCTGCTCCGACATGATCCTCCTCCATGTTCTTCCTGCAGCTCACGAGGTGCGTTGTGATGCAGAACACTCGTGTCCGGATGGAAACACCTGCTGCAAGAAGGCCTCAGGCACATGGGGGTGCTGCCCCCTGCCGCAGGTAAGCGGGTCAGTACTCGCCATGTGGTGGTGCTGACAGGCATGCAAGCCATGGAGGCAGGCCTCTGGCCTGTTGTGACTAAGAGTCATTCATGGGTTGCATGTTCATGCTGTCCAGTTCCACCCTGGTATACTGTGGAGTTTTGGGTTTGTGTGGTTTTACAGCCCGTGGTATATGGTTTTTCCTGTGGTTGTCCATGTAGCATAGAAAGGTGTGGGCTCCCCCATAGGCCCATTCTTCATGCCCTCAGCTCCATGCCCACATCTGGAGGCTACTGAGGGCATTGGGGGGAAGTGGGGAGCGCTGTCTCCTAATTTTCACTCTGTGAAGATTGAAGATTTGGGGAGCATTGACTGCAGACTTATCTGGCACTGGTAAGTGGACTTTTTCTCTGATGTAGAACACAGCATTAGAAGTGGGGAGCTTTCCCAGTGGATCTCAGTGGCTTTTGTCTGGCAAGGCAGACGAAGATGTGAAATATGGTGGCAAGAAAGCTGAGCAGACATGGAGATGTCCTGCTGGCTGACTTGGCTGTGCTGTTCTTTCCCAGAGCTGAGCCTGTTGGGTTAGGGTTGGTGTAGGGAGTCTGGGTGGGACTTCACATGTTGTTGCACTGCAAGCTGCAACCGGCATGGACAGCTGTCAGGGATTATGGGTGTTGTAATAGTCTGGGAAAGATGCTGAAAGCTGGTGTGCATGCCTGCACTTTCTCAAATACAGGAAAACTCTCTAGGCTGTGCTTGGTTCCCGGTACTGCTTCCATGGTTAATGGCCATGCCTGACTTCAGTTGAACAGGCAGTGATCTCCATGCCATGTGGCTCCACTCTTCTCTTTAACCCCAGCTGTGCAGGGCAAGTCCCATCAACTTAAGATCTGCAGTAGAACCCCGATCAACGCTAAGCAGCATAACCAGTGACTTTGCAGGCCAGAGCAGCTGGATGGCCACAAGTGGCCCTCCCCACCACACATGCTGCAGGTGCTCAGCAATCACCCCTTCATAGGAGAAAACGTTTCAGCCCTGATGAGCCTGTTCCACTCCTTCCTTAGAAACATGGACCTGTTGGGGAGGCAGAAGGCACAGCACCCAAACATGGAGCACTCCAGATGTCCTGGACTATAGTTCCCATCTTTCCCAGCCAGCCAATGTGGCCACCCCCAGCACTCCCCTCTCTCACATGCAGCAGAGCACTGAGTGGCCAGGTTGGGTGTCCCTGGGTGTAGCCGTGCCCACAGTCACCATGGCCCACCTCCCAAAACACGCTTCCTCAGCCTTTGTCCCCACTCTACAGCCCTACTGGAAAAGATCATAATATTGACACCTTATAGCAGGGATTTCCCTTCTTCTCGGGCCAGTGAGCACATGCAGAATTCTGGGAGTGTCGCAGGTGCTCCCACAAAATGGCTTGCCTCAGGCCTTCATGTCAGGGCATGGTCAGTTACAATGCACCTATTACTCAGGTGGCAAAAGGTTAGGTTAAAAGAAAAGTAACTTGCCCAGATGTGGGCTTGGGTGTCAAAGCAAACATCATTACTTTAAGTCCACAGCTTTTTTCTCTGGTGCCCATTTCAAAGAAGACAAACTTAGCCAAGAAACTCAAAGGTAGCGTAGGGTCCTAACTGTCAAATCATCCTTGCCCACCAAAATCACCCCCTTTTCACATGGGCTCTGAAAAGCACAGAGACAGAGACACCACACATGGCAACACAACCTTCTCCATTCCCTTGGTACACTCCTCACTGCCTCTCAATTTCCTCTTCTTTTCTGGGTGGCTGCATGTGCTTGCAGACAAAGGGCTGGGTTTCGGCTAGCTGCCATTTTCCTTTCCCATTAAGGAGTTTGGCAATGGTATGGTTCCTGTGTATCAGAACAGTCTGTCCATCTTCCCAACAGGCTGTCTGTTGCACTGACGGCAGGCACTGCTGCCCTGAGGGCTACACCTGTAATTCATCCTTGGGCATCTGCCTGAAGCCAGGACACTCCCTGCCTTGGGTTCGCAAGCTCCCCGCCAGCGGGCCGCAAAGCCGGGGCATCCGCTGCAACGACACTGCCAGCTGCAAGGAAGGGCAGACATGCTGCAGGGGTGTGTCAGGTGACTGGAGCTGCTGCCAGCTGCCCAAGGTGAGCCCAGTCCCGACACCGCCCTTAGTGTGCTGGGCACTGCCCCTGCTGCACTGGAAACATATAGGCACCCTGTGATAGTCCCATATCCGTTGACATGCGGCAGGCTATATCCTTTTGCTTCGTAATGCTTTAAATGGACTCCGCGGTACTGGAAGCTGGGCAGTGGTGCTGCTACACAGCTCTGGACCCTGGATTTATTGACCATTTCCCCTTGCAGCGCCCCGTGCAAGTGCTTAATGCATGAATTAATGCAACTGCAAAACATGTACGCTACATTTCTACTCTCCTTGCTATTTGCTTACTAATAGCTAAGAACCTGTTAGAAACACTGTTTTCTAACCCTATGAGAAAGAAAAAGAGTGGTATGTGCAGATGCGTATTTTAAATTGGCCTATATCACGGCACCATAATAACCACAAAGATACAAAAGAATTTGCTCCTTCCATTGCTCTGTGGGGTAGAGCATCTGCTGTGCATGCAGAAGGTCCTGGGTAGGAATCCGGCAGCTCTGGATAGGGCAGGGTGAGCTGCTGCCCCTCAGGGCTGGCAGTGCAGGGCAAGATTGGCAAAGCCTCTGGTTGAGGTGCCTTCTCGTGTCCCCTTCCTTCTGCTCTTTGGTTGGTTGGGCTACCCTGTGTGACCCTGGCTACCGCACGGCAGACAGGCAGGGGGCTTCAGCTGGGCAGTGGAAGTCCAGACACTGCCATGCCTGACTTACATCCCTTTACCTGCTTGTGTTCTGCTCTGGAAGCAAATGCCATCCAGGTTTGTTGTTTATTTTATTTGACTTGTATCCTGCCTTTTTCTTGTAACAAACTCAGTGTGACTTAAGCCATTCTCCGCCTCCTGCTCTCCATCTGTCTGGCTGTCGCAATCTGTCTGTCAGCTCTGGCTGCCTCTCCCCATCCAATGCTTTGGCCTGGGCTAAAATGGGCAAGCCCAGAAGCGAAAGGAAATGGGGTAAAGGGGGAGGCCCGGGTCTGGGCCAGGTCAGTCTCCCTCCATTGTGTTCTCACCTCTCTGCTTGTGTGCCAGATCCATCTGGCAGTATAAAGCAAAACAGGCCACGCAGAAATAACCTAACAGTTTCTATGTATTTCTATTTTAACACAAGTGTTCAGTGTTGTAGATGGTGCTATTGTTTTGTTCCTGAATGTTGTAAAAAGGCATGTTTCTTAATAAGACAAGTACCGGTTTTTTAGCAGTTTTTTTTAAATTAAGGCTGCCTTTCTGTATTGGCAGCTCTTTGGCTAGGTGTGCCTGTCCACTACTAGGATTTGCTCCTCTGGTCCTCTGTAGGCTGTCTGCTGCGAGGATCACCTGCACTGCTGCCCCTCTGGATACACCTGCAACGTTATGGCCCAGTCCTGTGAGAAGCAGCCGAAGCCCAAGCCCCTGGATGCCGGGGCGCTGCTGGCCGCTTGGTTTGCTGCCGCCTCCAGCCGGGACTCGCCATGCGGGGACCAGCACTACTGTCGTGGCGAGCAGACCTGCTGCAAGGCACACTCGGGTGGGTGGGCTTGTTGCCCCTACAGCAAGGTCAGTGCCCAGGCTGGGGAGCTGATGGCCTTCATGAGGGACCATGAACAGGATTTCAGTCTGTGACTCTCTTAAAAGGAGCCCTGGGTGTGCATGTGTATGTATGAGACCTATTTTCTCCAAATTGGGCAGTCACAAAGGAGGGATGGGAATCTGAGGGCATTCTTTGATTGGTAGAGCTGGAAAACCATTAACAGTTCTGCAAGACCAAAGAATTTCGTTTAAGTATATCAGGGACAGCCATACCTTCATACTTCTGAAACCTACTTTGATTTTTGACTTACTTTCCAGCTAGAGCTAAGGGAAAACCCAGAAAAAATAGGAAAAGATTCCCCCCACTTTTTAAAGTGTACATGATTCAGGGTCAGCAAATTTTGACTGATCCACTACAAATCAGCCAGCGGATCCCAATCTATCTCCTACCCACAGCTGGGGAGGCAGGTGAGCATCTTGAACTACACCTGCTGTTGACACTAATTGGTCATTAGATAGACAAATATTGCAAGCAACTTGCTTCATTGCTTACCAATGCAGTCACTCCGGCCCATCTTGGCTCGAGGGAGTGCAACGCTGCCAGTGTCCCGCCCAGCTCTTTTCAGCTTGTGGGGAGGGGGCTGGGTGTGTGGCAAGGCAAGGACTGCCTCTTCTTGCTCGACCCCTGCTAATCCTGGCAAATTAAATCAGCCAGGATAGGGCTGGCCACATAGCGTGGGGAAGTGATTGGCATCTTCTTGCAGGTATCTTGAAAGAGGCACTGGCAAGAGGGTTATTAGCGAAATCTTCCCGTGACCCAAAAAGTTTGTCTCAAATGTTCTGCTCATGGGCAAGGTGACTGAGGAGGTGGTGGTTTCACAGTTTCAGGTGCCTTACAATGATACTGATTATCTGGACCAACGTCAGTAGGCTGGACCAAGATCGCCATGGTTGTATCAACTGTGGTATTGTGGTGAGGCTAGGGTGTGGGAGGCTGCCTAGTGTAGAGCAGTGGTTTTCAGCCTTTCCACAGCTGAGGACTGGCGAAAGCAGGAAAACCACCTCGGGGAACCATCTTTCCCTGCCCCCACCACAACTGCAATGCCAACCGAGGAAGAGGTGATGGAGCACAGCCCACCCCTGCACTGGTCTGTGGCAAGCAGGCCCCCACAGACCAACAGGAAATCTGTGGCGGACTGGTACCAGTCCACAGACCGGCAGTTGAAAACCACTGGTGTGGAGCGTGGAATACATTGTCGGGTTACATCCAGCGCGCAGCACTGTAGCCGTTGTTTTGTGTTGTCCTGCAAAGTTCTGTTCGGTCCCCAACATTCTTAGCATCTGCATAAATTCACTGAGAAAGCCCAACCAGAACTTTGGAGTGTGTTGGTTAATGTGGAGTACCCTTGAACTTGAAGAGCATCTGGTAATGTCACTGGACCTGGCTCTTCTCAGGACCTCTTATATCATGTATTTAATGTATTTCTAGCCCCTGCTAGCAATACATTAAAATTCGTATAAAAAAAACTTTGCAATCAGACAGCACACTTTCATAAAACAAGCAGGTACCTAAGATCAACAGGGGAGTCCCTTGCTTGTGCATACGGAGGGATTCCTCCAGTGTTGCTCTGGTATGGAAATACAGCCCGGGCAGAGACGATATTGCTTTGCATTTTTATAGACCAGTTCGTAACACAACTTAGAATGGTAGGTGTGTAGAAGAACTTACACAAGTAGCCAGTTTGTGTGCAGTGTGTACTGTTGGAGAATGGAGTGGAAGGAATGTTACATTTTCACTTCTCATCAGAAATAGTATTCTGTGAATGTTCCCTCCTCTGATATTAAACTATATAGGCTCTTAGATAATCCTTCCATAGCCTGGTGCCCTTCAAGATGTTGGGGTGCAATTTCCATTGTCCCCAGCCAGCACAGCCAGACTGGGGAAGGCTGTCTTAGATATAAGGGCCTCCTGAGGTAAGTACTAGCTGTTGCTCTGCTCTTGGGTAGTATTACAGTGGTTTTTTTCTATAGGATTGTGTTTGCATTTAATGGATGTGACTTTTAGGGACTGGATGTTTCCTTTGCCTTTGGGTGGCTCGACCTGTTTTGTGTGACACAGCAACAGCAGCTTTGGTGTTTCACTTCCGCACCAAACAACTTCTTTTAGCTGGGTGCAGGTCCCAGGGCTGTCCTCCCACTTCTTCAACATCACGCCATGCGCATCACCACTTGTGTGTTTTTAAAAGCAGTTCCCTCTCCTGAAGGCAGGATATGAAGGGAGAACAAAACCTGAAGAGAGGAACGCAGCCTTGTAGCCTGGATGCATTCTTACTGCTGTGGAAAGCTGCCCATAGACTTCCAGTCTCAAGCCCCTACTCTAGATCTTTCAAACCGAAGTTTTTTCTGCCAAAACTGTCATCCTTTTGTTCTCTTTTCCCCCACCCTGCTGCCCTTTTTTCAGGGAACCTGCTGCCATGACAGACGCCACTGCTGCCCACCCGGCTTCTATTGCTCCCGCTCCGGCTTCGAGTGCTTTAGGCGGCAGCCTCTCCGCTGGGACATCAGCATCTTCTCCCCTTACTCTGCCCCAGCATCACCATTGGTCTGAAGTGCCTTCCCAGGTCGACTTGCCACACTTGGGACTGAACTGAGCTGTTCGGGGAGAAGCAGTGGGGTGGAGGTAGGGCAGGGCTACTCTGCCAGGGGCTGTTCTGCCATGGAAGGCATCTTGCTGTCCACCCCATGTGGGTACAAGAGACCATCCTTTCCTCTTCTTCAGGCATTGCCTGCAACAACGAGTCTGTTTTCTTACCTGTTCTGCGTGACTTGCCCTCCAAAACCAGTGGGGTCCACCACTGTGCCTGCATCCCAGAATTTGGAAAATCCCGAGCCTTGCTTCTCCCAGACAGATTTCTGGGGGTCTGATGTCTTGTTTTGCCTCTGCAGTTCCTTCATAGTGAACGAGAAATGGAGGTTTGTTTCTGTACACTTGTTAAGAATTTGGTCTTGACACTGGATTGGCAGCAGTCTTTGCTGCATTGCTTTTCCTCCCTGTTCTGGGTCTGCTGTCCCACTGAGGCTCTTGGGGTGCTTTCTTTTGCTTCTACATTGTCACTTCCTCTCTGCGGGCTGAAAGCCGACCCAACTTTCTCTACAGCAGTACTTGGAAAGAGCAGAGTTGCCTGTGTTCAGAATCTTGCCCTCCAAAGCACACTAACAGCCAGGGGTCTAGTGCTGCTTCAGGAAGCAGTGCGATTCTGGGGTAAGATCGGTGGGGGGGCGGGGGGGCTTTCGTTCTTGTGCCCAGATGTTGATACGAGAAAAATGGGGAACGGCGTGGCCTGCCTTGTGCTATCTTTGTGCAGGGTAGGCTCAACTGGAACATGTCTCTCCCTCTCTGCTATTCAGAGACTTCTTTGCTACCAGCTGTGGTTTCCTCAAATAAAGGGTTGATTTAAAACTTGCCTGCATGAAATGGTGAATAAGAAAAAAATGGTGCTTAATGTAAAGGTAGTGGGCCTAACAGTAGCTAATGTTAGTTTCTAACATGAAAAATAAACAAGACTGGCTGGTGGTGGGTAATAAACTTAAACATGAAAATATTAATAGAAGCTGACCAGCTTTGCAACATTCCCCAGCCTAATGCCTTTTATGTGTGTTGGACTGCAATTCCCACCATCCATGCTGGGGATGGTGGGAGTTGTAGTCCAACACATCTGAATGGCATTTGGGAAAGGTGGTCTATAGGGGTGCTCAGAGATGATGATTTTTTTAAAAAAATAAGTGAATCCGACAACTTGGTTTTCAGTCTTGAGAATGCAAAACTGTGGTGGCATTTTTAGCAGATGGAGACACAGTAGGCCAAATAACTAGTCACCAGGATTTTTAGAAAGTTTTGCACAAAGACAGGACATTTTATGACCTGCCCAAACCTTGCAACAAGTGCTCATGACAGCAACCGACTCACTGCCAGAAATCAGATGTGGAAACTTATGGCTGTGTCTCTCCAGCTATAAAAAGCAGGAAGGGGAGGCAATTTAAGTATCTATTAATAAAATATATCTATCAAAGATGGCTGTGTGAGTGTATGCTTAGACCAGTCCAGAGTAAACCCAATCATGCCATAATACTTGCCTGTATTGCCACAGGCCTATTTTTGATAGAATCTTAGGTTTCTCCAGTCATGCCGTGGGAGTTTCTTTTCAGCATGAAGAATGGAGAAGGAAAAACGTGTGGTGGACATCCGTGTCAGTCGCGGCAGTGTCAGAACAGGGACCTCGTTCCGCTCTCGATGTTGTCTGCCTTCATGCCCCTTGCGGGGGCCTCACTTGTGCAGCATCAGCTATACAGGTGGAGCCCTTCACAGATCCTCACTGAGGCCAGTCTCCCACCTCCCGCCACACTTCCATTCAGAAAAATGTGCCATGCACAGCACCCAAAAGCTCGGAAGAAGTTGCCTGCTCCAGCTATTAATCAGTCTCGGTGCTGTTTCTACTGAAAGCTCTGGGGGACCTTTCTGGAAGAGCTGCAGCGCAAGCTGGAGCCAGGCTGACAGGGCAGGGAGGGCAGCGCATGTGCCTTGCAGCTCCGTTCTTCCATTGCTGCACAGTGGCAATTAGGAGACAGCTTTGTCCTCTTCGCAGACTGCAGAAAATCAGCTCATTAGAAGGACAGACCTTGGAGGCTGCCATGTTCAGCACTCCTGTGCGATTGCTGCATTTCACACAAACCCCACTCGTTATCTGCTCTGCCACTGCTTTTCTGGCAGAGACATCACTGCCCTCTGTGCAGTTGCTCCTCTATGAGAGGAGCAGGTGGGCTATGCACAGGGCATCACCAACAGGGCAATAGCTGTGAAATACCCATGTCTCCGGCTCTGCCTCCTACCCTCTTCACATACTGAGCCTTGGAAGGCACCCACTCCCTCCCCCCCCGAACCCAAAGACGCCCCTGTGGCAACCACTGTGCCATACAAGCAGGCTCTCAAGCGACTCTGCACAGGGACATGGCTGTTGCAGCTATTTCCTTCCTGCCTTGAACTGGAAGTCCAAAGACCAAAGTCCTGGCAGTCATACCGTCCACACAGTAATTATATACCAGTATAATTATATACTTTCACCTGCAAAGGGTGAAACCCTCCCCCTACCTTGTCTTTTTGCTCAGAATGCACCCATACAGCTCCTGATGATTTCAAACGTACTTCCCAAATTGTTAAAAGCAAAACACAGACAATTGGTTCAGGGCAGCTTCCTCCTGACCCATTTCTTTTCACTGGCCACAGTCCGATGACTGAGCGGGGAGCCAATCTGCTTCCCTATTCGGCATCTGAGCAGGTTGGCACTAGCAAAAGGCCTCCTTCCTGCCTGCAGATTTCTTTGGGCCATGCAGCTTCTGAGGCCGAGACCAGAAAACTGTTTCTGGTCTTCGTGAGTGACCAGACACATTAATAAATGTTAGTAAGGTGCTAGGCAGTCAGGCAAGGGCTCTGCTGCTGTACTTACAATAATACTGTTTTTGCCAGGTGGGTGTTCGGAGTTTGGCATGGTGGGAAAACAGATGGGGTCCACCTCACTAACCCCAGTGATTCCCCACTCCTGGTTTCCCGAGAATGCAAAAACCACTACAGTATTTTCGGTGGTTGTCTTATTTTTGGGGTTTACTGTCAAACTGTTAAAGTTATTTAAACATATGAGATTCTTATTAGAGGGAGTGAAGCAAGGAGAGAAAGAGAAGAGGGAGAAGGGTGTATAAGGCCTCCCATCTCGAGCTTAGCAACGGTGACTTAACATGCTAGCCTGATGTATAGCTATGCACTCTATTTTAAAAAGTTCTCATGAAACTGAAATAGGCAAATCAATCAGATTTTTTTTACAAGTCCTGAATATCTAGCCATTATTTGGGGTTTCTGCACCATACAATTTCTTTTGATGTCCTTCTAAACTTAAGGAGCAAAGGAATGGTCCATTCTAACCTGCCCTCAGTATCCAAATCTGAAAGTACTGCAAAAGTTCAAATCCTCTGAACAAAAGAAATCAAACATCATGTGTATTATTACTATTATTGTAGTTGTACTCCACCTTTCTCCCTCTTGCAAGGAACTCAAGGCAGCTTACATGATTCCCCCTCCACCCGCCCCGCTCATTTCCTCCAGTCAACAACCCTGTGAGGTAGGTTAGGTTGAGAGCCTGTGACTGGCCCAGTGAGCTTCCATAGCTGAGCGGGGACTGGAACTCTGGTCTCATGAATCTCAGCCTGATCCTCGTAACTAGTGCCCCACATGGGCGCTCCAGAGATAAGGGGACTTCCACACACTCCCTCCACACTGCAGCCCCTCCAGCCTCCTGAAAGCACTGCACAGATGGCTGGCAGTCCTTGCTGAATGGGGTGAACTGTGATGCAGGGGAAACTGGGCTGAGGCACTTTCCGTCAACCGAGCCCTTCTGTCGCAAGAAGGCAGAGCCTAGACCCAGCCCCATTCTTAATGCTGCTTGGAAGCCATACACTGCCAGGTAATCCTCTCCCTTGAGGTTAATCTTGGGGGTGAACAGCTACTTAATGGTGAGGGAAATGTATGCTACACATGCTCAGAAACACTTGCAGATTTTCCTGAGCTGATGGTGGACAGGATCCAAATGTAAGTATGTACAACTGGGATGGCAGAAGCAGGCCTCTCTGCCTCCCCCCACCCCTGCCATGGCAGCTACTCCAGCTCCCCAAAACGGGCATGCAGGCAGGCAGAGAACTCCGCAGGATGGAGCAGGCTGTGGTACAAATGGAAGAGAGTCCCCCAGCCAGGGCAGAGAAGACATTCATGCACAGTTGCCTTCACCCAGTTTGGAGGGGCTCCCTACTGCTCTTTGGGTCTCTGCATCACAGCTGACAGGTAGCTTGGCTCTCTGCATAGCATTTTTGAGGTGGGGTCTGCAGGGACTGCTGTGTGGAGGTCTTATCTGAGCCCGCAACTGAAAAGAAGGAAAACACCGCTTCAAATGAAGCCTTTCAAGAGAAATTACCTTTTAACAAACACACACCCTAGGAGGAAGAGAGACTTTGGTTCCTGCATCACAGACAGACAGAAAAGCAAATAGAATGGGAGTTGCATTTAAAGAGCTTTCCATGCAATCGTTCTCAGCATGACTTCATCTAAAAGCAACCAGCTTTCCATTTCAAAGTAAAATTAATTTACTTCTTGCAGCTAATATGAATATGCATCAGCAAGAGAAATACAAAAATATGAAGTTAAAGTCACTTTGTGTTTTGAGGCAAGGTTCATTGCTGGTAATAAAAATGCCTTTGTTTTTTTCAATGCAAATGCCAATTAGTCTTCTGAGAAAAACAGAAGCCGCATGAAGCCCGAGGAGGTGTTTTCATTGACATCAACAGAGTCAAGGAATTGCCCTTACAGGCAACAAACAGGACTCAGACAGCACTTTTCAAACTTTTGGCCTTTAGGGAACCCTTTTCCCCATCTGCGAAGGAACTCCTGCATATTGCAGAAGACTTGGGACGTGTGGACCCAGTTCGGGGTCAGGGGGCCAAATTGCTCCCACTGGGTCCTCTGCAGGTCAGATGACATCACTCCTTACTGGCCCTTCTGGCCCTTCTCGGGGCTGGGAGAGGCAAGGAATTCCATGCCTCCCTCAGTAGGTCGAAGGAAGTGGCTCCCAGCTTGTGCATTCCCTGGCTTTGTGCAGCATGTGTGAGGACTTGTCTGTCCCCAGAAGACTGTGACAGGCTTCATGAGGCACCCACTGTCCCCATGCACAAGGCCTTCCCTGGGAAGAATGGCTACTCCAGCCCATAGTTCCTGAACCCCCCCGTTTCAGGCAGCATGTACAGGACGCAGCGGTGATGGGAAAAGTGCATGCTCCCCTGATCCCTGGTCGCTCAGTGATCTTGGGTTTGGGACAGCAGTGGCAGTCCCACTTCCAGTTGGAGTGGCACACAGGAGACTTCTTGGAGGGGGGCTCCTCTAGGTGAGGGACTGGAGGTTGAGGCTCTGCCTGCCTGGAGGAACCCAGGGACGCTCTGCAGGCTGGGTGAGGCCCACAGGCTAGTGGTGTCACATCCGTGTTCTAAGTGGCAAACCAAATGTGCATGTCTGCATGCACATCCGACCAATGCAAAATAATTCTTGGCGTCCCAAGATGACATGCATGGTGTTGACTGTGTATTTGGTATTCATCTTTCAGTGTTGCTGCAGCTAGTGACCCTTTTCTGGATAAGTATGATGCCTTTTAAAAGTATGGTAAACATCACAAGATCCAGACAAGGCAGAATGCTTTTTTCAGGAACATTTGGAATGAGCCCCACTGAATTCTGTCAGGAGCTTTCATTCAGAAGCTTCCTGGAAACAGCCCAGACTCCTAGATACTACTTTTCAGATTTCCCATCAAATGTGATTCCAGACAGAAACCCTCCTTGAGAAGTGTAATGTTTGCTGCAGGACCTTAGAAATCCAGCAGGATTTCCTGGCACTAGCAATGATTTCCAAGAAAACAAAATCTACCTCTTAACAAGTATTTTTCCCAGCTGAAAGACCGGCAAATGCTGTGAACATTTTAAAAAGCTCATTGCATATGATCCTGCCAGTCCACTAAAATTGTCAGAATGAGCAGCATTCTATAAACTTCCTATATCTATTGTCTGTACTCTGCAGGGCATATGGCCTCTTCCAAAAAGACATGCATCAAAACCCTGTACTTCTAGAGTTTAACAGGCTTCAAATCTTCACGTTTTGGAGACCCAGAGTAGTTCACTGAATGCAGCAAAGAGATTAATTATAATTGTTTCATTTTATCCCAATTACAGATTCATATACTGAGAATTGCCTTGAGTTTTTGTTCTGTTTTGTTTTTTGAGGAAGGTAAGCTGAAATTTTTGGAAACAATGGAAGCAGGAAATTCAGGCATTTTTCTGCCTTTCAGACCTTAAAGGAAATAGCAGCAGGGACCTGAATTCATCATAAATATTAGGTTAAAATCATGTATACAATATATCAACTTCTCATTTCTGTTCTTACTTGCACTTGCCAAAAATACACCACCAAAGGCATTATCTGTTGCTTTCT